AAGTTTCGCCCATAGGAGGGGCACAGGCCGCCTAGGGCCGAACAGCCGCCTAGGTGAGTTCCGTACCGCCTAGGGGACCGCCTAGTTTGGCTGCCTAGACTTGGGCGATACGCCTAGACCTTCTGGACCACCTAGGCGCTAGGCAATCCACTTGTTTGAACACTGATGTAAAGAGAAAGCATATGGGCCCGTGAGCTAGCCATTTTTCGATTTTTTTAAAGGGGCCTTATGGTTTTTTTTTTAATGGGTGGACACTAGGCACCCGCCTTGAGCTTTCTTAGGCGGGAGCCTAGGAGCATGTCCGCTTAAGGAACCTGCCTAGGCCTATATTAGGCTTTCTTCCCGGCCGCTTAGCCGAATCTTTGAACATTGAAAAGTTCAAAAGAAGACTTTTCCTTAACCAGATATGGAGGTAATTGGTTGATCGCATGACAACACACCGCAATGCCTCCAATAGGGGTGGCAACGGCAGGGCCAAGGACCAAGGGCACCTGGCTCGGCCCTGACAAGGCCGAAGAAGCCCTGACCCAAGCCCAGCCCTATCCATATCAGGGCAGCCAGGCTAAGCCAACTACAATAAAAGTATACAAGAAAACAAGAAGAAAAAAGGGGCTAGGCCAAGCCGAACCAAGCTAGGTCCAACCAAATTGGGCTGGCCCTGTTGCGACCTGGTCCTAACCCAGCCTAGCCCTTTCCTCGGGTCACATTTCGTGGCCCAGACCCTTGTTTTTTGGGCTGGGCTTGGCCATCCAGCCCATTGCCAACCCTAGCCTCCAATCTTATTATGCAACATTTCACATCCATCTCAAAAACGACAATAGTTTTCTCTCAATGACCCATTATGTTGTGAAGTGTATGGACACACAATTTGCCTCCCAATGTTGTTTCTTCAAAATACTTTGAATAAGTACTTCGACATGTACTCTCCACCAATGTTTGTTCTTAAACACTTGATCTTTAGGCTAAATTCCTTTCACTTCATCTTTTCACTTCAATAAGGTAGACCCATGTATACATGGAAAATCATTTACCATCACCAATACATAGTGAAATCTACAATAACTTGGAGTTAGGCAAGACCCCATAACAGCAAAATGCCCCATATCCAACGGCTAGTGCATTAGCTTGATAAATGCTCAAATGGAAGGCGATGTGCCTTTCCACACAAGCAGCCTTAACCACATCATGCTGTATGTTGCCCAACATAGGCATTCCATCAATCAACTTCTTAAAAGAAATAGAAAGAACATCATCTTTTCACTTCATAAGGTAGACCTACGTATACATGGAAAATCATTTACCATCACCAATACATAGTGAAATCTACAATAACTTGGAGTTAGGCAAAATGCCCCATATCAGCAAAATGCCCCATATCCAACGGCTAGTGCATTAGCTTGATAAATGCTCAAATGGAAGGCGATCAGCCTTAACCACATCATGCTGTATATTGCCCAACATAGGCACTCCATCAATCAACTTCTCAAAAGAAATGGCATTCAATAGTTGGTAGCCAACTTGCCCCAACCAAACATGTTAAATAGTTGTATTATCATTTAAACTAGTCTTCTCCGCATAGGCCTCATTCGCTAATATCACAAAAAGTGATTTTTCTTTCTTTATGTAGAAGAGCATGTATGGCTAAATATTCTTCACACTGTACAGACTTTTACACCATACAGTTCAAGGAGAAGATATTTCCCAGAATCTGCAATTTGATACTCTTAGATTAGGTAATATGCAAACTATCAAGGGATCAAACTTATGAGCCACACTATGAAGCTATGGGAGAGAGTGATTGAGCAATGACTAAGGTCTGAAACGAGTGTATCAAAAAGCAATTTTCCAACCTAGACAGCTGACAGAGAAGTTTAGGGTGAAGGAAAAGACCTCCACATGGTCTTTATTGATCTAGAAAAACTTATCATAGAGTACCTCAAGATTGAATTTGATGGGTGTTGGAAAGAAAAGAGTCTCCAGATAATATATCAACTTGGTAAGAGATATATACAAGGGAGCGTGTAATGCACAAACAACTAGTGGAGAGATGATTAAGTTTTCAGTAACAATATGTCTACATTAGGGGTTAGCGTGACGCCCACACCTCTTTGTCTTAGTTATGGACGACTTAACTACGCACCTACAAGATGAGGTACCGTGGTGTGTGTTGTTTGTGGACGATATAGTTTTAATTGATGAGACCCGAAGCGGCATCAACACAAAGTTAGAACTTTGAAGGGATGCTCTAGAATCTAGAAGTTTTAAAATTTGCCAAAGTAAGAAAGAGTATATGGAATGCAAGTTTAGCAATAATAGAAGTAGAGACGATGAAGTACTTAAATTGACGGCATGGAAATACTAAAAAAAAATGCACTTGCGATATCTTGGGTCGATAATCCAGGAAAATGGAGAGATTGAGGAATATGTCACGCATAGAATTAGAGTTGGGTGGACAAAGTTGAGATGTGCAACCGGCATTTTATGTGGTTGCTACATACAAATGAAGTTGAAGGGGAAGTTCTATACGACAGTTGTAAAATCAGCTTTGCATTATGGAGTAGAATGTTGGGCTGTCAAGAAACAACATACTCATAGGATGCGTGTAGTTGAGATGAGGATGTTGTGGATGAGTAGCAAGACAAGAAAGGATAGAATTCAAAATGATTCGAGAGAACTTAAGTGTGGCTCCAATATGCGATAAATGAGAGAAAGTAGACTTAGGTGGGTTGGCCATGTGCAGTGGAGACCTAATATGGTAACTGTTAGGTGGTGTGAGTTGGTTCAAGTGGAAGGCTCAAAAGAGGACAAAGGTGAGCTCAAAAGGACATTGTTGAACATAGTGAGAAAAGATATGGGGACTTATGGCCTCTCTGAGACTATAGCCCTTGATAGAGTAGAATGGTGGACCATGGTTCGTGTAGCCGACCCCAAATAGTTGGAAAAATGCTCTGATGATTATGATGAGACAAGGTTTTTTCTTCAAACCTAGAACATGGTTCCTGAGAATAATCTAACCAGCCATGAGCTACCAGTCTTGACTCTTGACATTCACGCTACCTTTTCTCTTGACTAGATGGATTCAATTGTCTATAGTGATAATCAACTATATCCCACCATGCTCACGAAGATTCAAGAACACTGAGTCATTCATGTTCACATGGTGTGAACCACTAGAGACAATGATCGTATTCGACACTGCTATTACAATCTAAAACCAAATCTCCTACAATAGATGTCATGCAAGAACGACTTTGGAGGCGAAAGAATTTTCCCTTTTACTTTTCTACTAGCTGTTATCTTAACAAACAAGCCGGAAATACCATCCACCAACTTCATACGACAGTTCTTATTGATGTGGCTAAGCTTACCACATTTGTAACACTTGATAGATGTAGATCTCTCATTACAGACATTCTCCTAATTTGAATTTGCTGCTAAATTTCGTCCTTCATTCTTTGAGGCTTATGAAGGATTCTTTTTAGAACCATTGTTGGACTTTACTTTACTTTGACCCTAGAAAGCGGTGCATCATCCCCTTTTTCCAAGACCAACATCTTAGATAATCTGCTTTGCCAAAACCTCTTGATTGGCAAGCAAATTTTCAAGCTCTATAATGGTGAGCTGAGTTGCCCAACAATATGGGGATGTGATGAATGGTGTATACTCCTTACTCAAGGCACAAATGAGATATCAATGTAGCTGAGCATGACTTGGTCCAACTTCGAGATTTCACTTGACTTTGATGAAGTGTTGTGTTAGTTGGGTTGATCAACTAAGTTCATTCTCAAAAAACTGTAAAACGAAGTGGTGTGTAACAGAATTTACAAATATGATCAATCAGATCCTTATGTGTCAATGCTTTCAGTGCAAACAGCACCTTACCATACTTAATCTGCCTTTTGTCTAGCTTTGGCATTTTCAAATGTATCATTTGACATCACCTTAATCCTAGAAACAAGATCCCAAAATCTTGGCTTTAGAGAAATGCCTCCATGCACAACCTCCAGTACTCATAATTGGGGCTTGTGTTCATTTCCATTCCAAAGTCCAAACTATGTAGATCCAGCACTATTGCTGCAGAAATCCACCGCCAACAAGAAGAATGGACACAAACATACAAGCAAAGAGGAGTTATGAAAATACATTTCTCCTCCAATAAGTAACACCCACTCGATGACCTAGAAGAATAAGACCTCTCACCAAAGCTCCAATGCCATCATAGATAAAATAATAAGGCAGGCCGCACAAGTCCTGTTCTTGCAAAAGCAACACAAAAGCCAAAACACCTACTCACCACTCCTCTCAAATCCCAAACTTTCTAATCCTTTTATAATACCTAATCTTTTAGATAACCATAAAAAAAGAAATCTAATACTTCCTCACAGATAAAGATTTCATTACCCAAATGTACATCCTAATAACAAATAACAATAAAAGACCTATCTAACAGCGCAAATACTATTCCCCCAAACGCCCCATAAAATATGCACTATTTTCCAACAAATCATTCCCCATTTCTGTATCCGATTGACTCCAAATTTGACAAAAGATGCGCGCTGTCAACTTAGAAACCCTGTTTGATCGATAGAATCGTAATAAAAATACTCATCTATGTTGAAACAAGACCTCCAGCGTTTACACATATATGAGCTTAAGTCGGTTCTTGTTTTAAAATAACAAACAGAAAAAAACTAGAACACTCACACACTATCAGATTAATATGAACTCTTTAGGCTCAATTTCATTCATGAACACTCATAATGACAAGGTCCCTGGAGAGAGACAGAGAAAGACAGAGAGACAGAGATGAAAACCACTGCGTTATGAACTCATTCCAAACAATATTCAGATTCATAAGTATCAATTTACACATAAAACAGTAATGCACACACTTGAAGCAAGATCTTGCGCCAGAAAAACCATTTGCAAGACAGATCACTGCATAAAGAATAACCAATGTATCAAATGAAGAAACAGATCAAATAAATAATTAGGGTTACCATTCTTGGAGCGTGGACAAGAAAAGGGAAATTGCATTCGCTCTCTGGTACTCCAGATTTCACCTTCTTCTCGACCCAAGCCCTAAAAAGCTCCTCAAATGACTTATTGATGGCACTTTTACCTGTTCTACACTGTGTAGAAGTGACTTCATTCTTCTGCAACTCACATCTAGCCATGGCCTTTCGACTACACCTCAAAGAAGCCTTCTCTGAAACTTCTTTTGGGAAACCTCCATCATCTTCAAAAACCTTAAACACATTCGAGCTGCATTTCCATGGCCGCCCCCATTTGAACAGCCAACTCTCGTCCAAGCAAAATTTTCCGTTGGACTTGGAATTTAGGGCGAGGGGATCATCATGAGGGATGAGAGAGAAAGCATTTTGCTCACTGGTTTGAGATTTCGTCAAGAGATTATCGGGAGCTGCAAGTTCTAGAGAGAGAGGGAGAGGGTTGCAGCTCTCTGAGAAGGAGCTCAGGTCAGGCATTTTAGAGAGAGAGAGAGAGTGTGAGGACTTGGGAGTCAGGACCGGTCTCTGTACAATCTGGTATTGTTTGGTATAAATAGTAGGTGGTTTAGAGAGAGAAAAGAACGAAAAATATGAAATGTGGAGAGGCGGGAAACCGGATGGTGGGTCCCGACTCTGGACTTAAGACCGTGGCACGTGCGTAGCAGGGCTTAAAGTAGTGAGAGAAAGAGTTTTCACCGAGAGACTGCGAGTAGAGAGAGAAAGTGTTTAGAAAAGGAGAGACATGCAGAGAAAAATTGGGGGAGCCTAGAGAGAGAAACGGATGAGGTTCGGGATAACTTTCTCTCTCTAAAAAAGTGACAATTGGATGGGCACTGGTGAAATGGACCAACACTAACTAGATTTGAGGCACCCTTTTCTCACTCCTCTTTCTCGCACTAGATTTTGGAATCTCTCCCTCCTTCGCCTCACACGTGGCATACTCCTGTCTAACTCTCAATAAATTTGGTAAATCCTTTCTCTCTCTACCCCTGTCTAACTCCCTCTAAATTTCCTAAATCCTTTCTCTCTCTACGCAATTTAGGGGACTATAAATTTGAATTTCAGACCTCCCCTCTCCCTCTCTCTCAAAATTTAAGAAACCGCTGTTTATATCTAGTCATCAATATCATAATTTTTTTACAACTAGTTGGAGTTAGCTATATTAAATTTGAAACGCCACTTTATTCTATCATGTGTAAATTTTTTTTGGAATTATCTGAAAATATATTTTTATATCTAATTATAAAATTTTAAAGTTCAAAAATAGTTAAAATTAAATAGATTTATAATATATAAAAATCATGAAAAATGACTGTCTTGATAATATGTTGCAAGATACAATATTTCTAGGAGTTAAAAAGATTTTTTTAATATTCATACCGATGAGATCATTTTTCAATATTAAAACAATTTTTTCTCGATTGATTTTTTTTTAGGAAAAGTTTATAGGCTCTAATTAATCAAATTTAAACCTACATCAAAAATTTCACTGGAAGATATTGTTTTGATGCCCAAATATCCTCAAATTCATCATCTCGATATCAAGATGCATGGACATGATAAAAAAATGGATTTCAAGTTTTGAAAATAGTGTATTTTGTAACGTACTTTTGAACTGTCAAATTTCAAGATTTTCAAGTTTTCTTAGATCTCTCGACCTACATTATTTTTGAAGCTTTAAACTTTATTAATAAATATAAAAATATATTTTAAGGCTATCAAAAATATTTTCGGTATTGAAACCATATTTCTCTATATTATTTGAAGGTATGCTCTAATTTGTTTGTTTAGAGCCTAGGCTCTATACAAACAACACTTTTTTTATTGTAGGCAAAAGTTTATATAGAGCCGAGGCTAACAATCAAATTTGAGCCTACCTAGAAAATTTCACTAGAAGAGGTTGTTTTGATGTCCAAATATCCTCAAATTCATCATCTCGACATCAAGATGCATAGACACGAGAAAAAAATGGATTTCAAGTTTTGGAAATAGCATGTTTTGTAACGCATTTTTTTACCGTTAATTCTCAAGATTTTGAAGTCTTCACATATCTTTCGATTTACATTATTTTTTGAGCTTTGAACTTTATAAATAACGATGAAAATATACTTCAACTCTCTCTCTACACGAATTGGGGCTTCTCTCTTTTGCATTGATAAAAGGTGAATTGGTAATTTCTATTTTGGGGAGAAGAGACCTGCAAATAAAGAGCATAGAGACTAGTGGTGATTGGTGAATGCTTTACACGTGTTTGAAGGGATATGGTTAGAGGGAGACATGTCAGAAAGGCATGGGTACGAAGTTTAGAGAGAGAGGAACACGTGACTTCGCAAAAGGAGGCAATGAAATGAAGAGCATCCGCTTTCAACTCTCTCTCTCTCTCTCTCTCTATAGATTGGGTGCAAATTGAAACATTGGTATCATCTTAAAACAGCACTAGGACCTTGAAACTTCAAATGGGTAAAATGATAAAATCATATACACAAATGGGATTGTATATTGAGGATTTTTTTTTAAAAAAAAAAAAATTTATTTATAGTCAGGCTCTAAATAATTAGAGCCCACTTCAAAAATTTCACCAGAAGAAGTTGTTTTGATGCTTACATATCCTTAAATTGATCATCTCGACATCAAGATGCTTAGACATGGAAAAAAAAATGGATTTCAAGTTGAAGGTGGAAAACGATAGCTTGAGGTGTATCAAAAGCTCAAGAATTTTTCTCTTGGATTTTGAGCATATTCAATGACATACCCTCAACCACTTAATTTTACATCTAACTGCTATAGGTAGTTGTGGCCTTTTTGACAAAAAAAAATGATTTTATTATACATTATAGGAATATAGAACAAGATTTAGCTAATGTCTCCCTTCCTAACTCCATTATGTTATTGTGATGTATTTCTCAAAAAAAAAAAATTAGCTATATGAGATATACCTCTCTCTCTCTCTCTCTATACATTAATATGGGCCTTTCACAATAACTTATTAAAGGATCTGTTTTGTACAAGGCAACAACCTTCCTTTAAGAAGTAGGGTTGTAATGTTCTATGCCGTATTTTTTTGTTGGATGTATTTTTATGACAATATCAAAAAGTAGCATGTCTTTATTGTGCCAGATCTGCACTGTACATATAAATAAACAGTGTAGACTACTGAAATATTACTTTTAGAAGTAAGGTTATAACCTTGTATAAACTTTTCATTTATCAAAGCACTTAAAGACTTAAATAACTTAACATTTTGCTTATATTTTATTGTCAAATTTTAAATAGCCATTCAAATGACACAACGAAATGAGTTTTGATATTCATCAAATTACACTTATAGTAAAATGTTAAAGTATTTCAACTTTTAGGTATACATGTGACATTTATGGGACTCATATCTAGTACAAAATATATATAATGAGAGAAAAAAGAATAAGTGTATGCTATTTGGGTCAACGTATGGGAAAGGTCGACTTCCCTCTAAAAAGAAGCATGGGCCTCCTACATAGAGAAGGAAAAACCTCATGAAGGAGCCTCTAGAGAGAGAAGTTATAGTGAAACAAACAGTTTTCTCGTGCCTCTCTTGGAGAGAGAGATTTGTTTCTTGTAAAAAAGTAGTGCCCTTGGAAATTTTGGGTGGTATCATTTTGTGAGTAAAACGTTAGTTTCTCCTTAATGATAAAAAAATTGTTTTCTTATTGCTCTCGAATTTCTATCTTGCGAGTTTGGTAATAGTTGTCAGGAAGTAAAGAGAATGATGAACAACAGGTGATGTAGGTTGGGATAGTAGTTTGAAGGGTTTTGTTGATGGTTAGTAAGATATCTTTTATATCGTAAAATATGTAATCCGATCCCAACAGTATAATGGATTTTAGTTTATTATATCCATTGATGTAGCTCTTTTGGATGAACAATATAAATCTTGGTGTTTTGCATATGCAAATAAATCCCATGGTAAAAGATTTTACCAAGAAATGGTCTGATTCACGGTAAAACAAAACTTCACCTCTTGAGGTGGAAAAACATTTCTAGTGCTTTTATTTTTACATGCATACCCATTATTCAGTATTCAGTATTTACAATATAATAGTATTCACTAAGACGGGAGAAGGTGAAGCTCCCGTCTTAGTGCTAGAGAAGGAGGAGGTTGATCTTGTTGGTAAGTTTAGGAAGATGATGGTTGTTGGCTTTTTTAGCCCTCCATCTGATGATATCTTCGGTATGGTGTGAGTGAGTGGGCCAGAAGGGAATGGGGACTTTCGTATGACCCGAAAGTTAGAATTTTGGGAGCTGATAGGGTTGATTTTGTCTTGAAATCATAGGATGATAGTAGGTGGGCACTGGGGAGTGGATTGTACATAGCTCATGACAGATTGATGATAGTGGAGGAGTGGAAGTCGACGTCTCATGGGACAAATATTCAAAAGGTTTCTTGTTGGATTCGGCTTTGGGGTGTTCCATTACATGTCATGGTTTGGAGAATTGCACTTTTTCAGAAGTTGAGCGCCTCTTCTGGGATTATCCAGGAAATGGACTTGAGAACATAAGGGAATCCGGATAGAAGGTTTATCCGTCTCAAAATTCGACTGCAAGTGGCCCCATACCTTTTTATGGGTGGATGTTGTCGTTGAAGGTTTAACTAAGTCGGAGGTTGACGTCGCAATAGCCATTCATAAGAAAGAGGAGGAAGGCGCACGGAAACTGGTGGAGTCTAACTTGAAAAAAACGTTGGAGGAGCAGAAAGGAGAGAACACAACAAATATTGACCAGAAGATTCGAAAAATGGAAAGTATGATGGATGTAATTGGGCTCGATTTCGAGGTCCCAATAGCAGTGGTTTTTAAGATATTAAGGCTAAAAAAAGAACCAAGAAAACTTGCAATGGGGAGTTGTGAATGAGAAATCTTGCAAGGGAGCTGTGAATGCTACCAAGGCATCAGAAAAGAAGGCAATTTCGGGTATGGCGGATAAGAAGCTAGAGAAGGAGAAGGCCAGTGCATCTCCAGCGGATATGACGACTCGATCTTTAGCAAGGTTGGCTGATAAAGGAGTCCCAAAGCTTGTTGTTGCGCCGAGAGGGGTGAGCTTTAATGAAAGCGAGATCGTGGATGTGAACAGTGACATCACCTTGTCAGACTCAGTGTTCACACCATCGGAGCTGGCTTTCATCTTCGACCAGCAACTTGATGGACCATTACAGGAGGGTCCAGGTTCATCTTCTACCCATTTTAAATGATCGTTCTTTGCTGGAATGTTAGGGGCCTTGGAGATCCCAAATGTAGGAGGGACGTTAGATTTTAAGTTTCGAAATATAAACTGGAAGACGTAATCTTACTGGAAACCAAACTTCCAGGACCCACTATGTCTAGTGTCAGGGAAGTTTGGGATCTGGGATCAATTAATTTTGTTGGTATTGATGCTATAGGTACATCAAGGAGATTGTGGATTTTGTGGGACCCTTCATCTTACAATATTTTGAAGTGTTAAAAGGGGATAAAGTGCTTACTGTATGTTTCAATGGTCCACAACCAAATTTTTCTTGAGTCTTGCTTAATATGTATGGGCCCAATGCTATTAATTTTGACAGAAGTTTTTGTGAATGAATTGGTTTGTATTATTTATGGTTTTCAGATTCCATTTTGTATAGAGGGTGACTTTAACT